GAACTTCCTCACTTACTAATCAGAAATTATCCCAATCATCTCCTTTAGCACTGCTCCCTGAAGACTCCAGAGTCCCATTTGTTTATGTCAAAAAGGTTATTTTCTGTCCTCTGTTGGAAACAATAAACAGCACAAACAAAACTCCGTTAAGGGTTTACAAATGAATAAATTTGTGGTGGTAGAGAGTAGTTCTTGGAACACCAGGACTAAATTATAGTCATCAGGAAATCAAGCCTGTAATCAGCCCAAATCAGGCGGCTCGTAACGGAGCGACTTCTGCTGTGGGGTTGTGGGGAACAGAGCGCTCTGCGAAATGCAAATAAACAGAATGAATTTTCATTTTCTTTTTAAATATATGCACATTCGTTATTCGTCATGTGTTATGCAACCTGTTTAAACCAAGTTTGCAGAGTGGTCACTTTCTTTTTGACAGTGTTAATCTGCCATTTAAAGGAATGTTAGTTGTTTAAAAATGTATTTTTTTTAAATAAAAACCATGTAGAGCAATACTATGCAGCTTTTTCACATTTTAAAATAATTTTCTTGAGCCAGTATGTGCTAAAATGACCCTTTACACATGGTTAATGTGTCACATGGTCAGTCAGACCCCACCGCCCTCTATGGCCAGAATATCGCACTTGCAACTTCAGAGTGCCGGTCCTTGTTGGACTTAGTAGAGTGGAGCTGACATGCCAGCACTGTCTGCGTCCTGCATGTTTCAGATTTGTTTAATTTAGTGCTGAATCACTAATGAAGGCTGAGGAGACATTTCAGCTGTTAGATTAAAGACGTGGGTGACTGAAAAAACAATTTTTTTTTATTATTATTGCTGATTATAATCAGTCACTCTAAGTTTTTCATGCAGGCTGAACTTGAAAATATTCTCCTACACCTATCTCCTGTGTTAGATTCTGATAGAAAACAGATGGTGAAATACTAGGATTTTAAAATCCTTGCATATCTATGTCACACAGTTGTAGCGTGGTTAACTACATACTAGGATTTAACACTGTTTGCTATCAGTTTGGTTAGATCCTGAGAAAAGATCAAACAAGTCAACAGTTGAAGCTTCTATCATAAATAAATATCTAGGATATTATATATGCGATAGAAGTTCATATGCCAACGAGCTTGGTCTATTTTTAATCCAAAGCTTAATTTTTAATTTTAAGATAATTAAATTTAATAGCAAAAGTGTATTTATTTAATCAGAAGTTTAAAGGAATCTTTACCTTTTCAGTAACCACAAATATTCTGTTTCATTTCAAAGAGTCAGAGTTTCTAAAAAGTTAAGAATTTCTTTTAAAAATGACAATTTAGAAATGACCATTTTTAACAGACAATTTGATATTAAAACTTGTTTTAAAAAGCAAACCCGTGACTGAATGGAAGCCAAAATGAAAATGCGAGGTTTTGGGTGCGTGAATGAATATCAGAAGGTTTCTTTCAGCGAGAGAAGCGTTCTGGGCGAAAAGTTGGTTTTGCAGCTAACTGAGTCGTTCCTTAGGAAGAACAGCATGCAGACGCAATCTGTCAGTGTCTATCTCACCCCGTATCAGGAGACCCTCTTCTGGATCCGAGATGTCAGGTGGAGATGATGTCCTCTGGGCACGAGGTTGGTAGAAGGACCTTAGTGCGACCAAATCGGTCCTGAGATGTCTCCGAGGGTCACACGACTGGTGAAACTATTTGCGTCTCAAAATCAATAACTCTGAAGGAGTTTTCTGTCAGCTGGTTACAGGTGCGTTTATTCGAAGCAAGACTATCGGCGTGACAGACTGCTTAGTAGAGACTTGGACGGCCGTCCCTCGTCTCCTGGTATGGTTCCAGAACATAACTTTCTGCTGCGGGATTTGGTTTTAACAAAACCCTCAGAACACGCCCTCTCAGCGTCAGAAAGCTTGATGTTATGAGTAAAGACATGTGAGATGGTTTTAACTTTACCCTGGATACCCTCTGCGTGAGGTGGTTAAACGTGCAAGATGACCTTCTGGTTTACTGAACACACATTATGGATTATTATTGTAATTATATTATTACCCAAAGCATAATAAGTCATTTCAGTAATTAAAATACATTTATACTGAAACAAGAATTATGATGATTGTAATAAACAGTAATAAAGTCAAGAGTTTATTAAAATTATTATTGCATAATCTTGAAGTGTCCTTCGTCATGGATAAAGCAGATAAAGAAGGTGTTTCAGCAGACATCACGGCTCCTGGCGGGTAATCTGTGGGGCAAAGTTACACTTCGACCCAGCTTGACCCAGCTGGGAAAATGTGACCTTTGTCACAAATTAGAGGCCATTCATGACGCTACACTGTGAATTTGCATTCATGGCTACGCCCATCTTGGCTTGCATCCACGCACAGAAAGGCTTTTTTAAAGGCAAGGAGAGAGAGCAGAGAGTCTCTTGCTGACAATAACTTTGCAATATGGCTGAACAAGTTTTATTAGCCAATCAGAAGTGAGGTATGTGTGATGTGTTTATGTATTTATCAGACACTTTTGATAATGAAGCCAGCAGGTTGCCTTTGAGGCTAACAACAAAAACTAATCAGTCAGTCCTAGGTGGCAGGGAGGGGAAGTGAACAGTAGAGTGGGGGACAGGTGCAGGGATGGTGCTAGTTTTGAAGATGCTCTCTGAAGATCTGGGTCTTCAGAAGTTTCTTGAAAATCAACAAGGAAGCCCCTGTTCTAGTAGTGCTTGGTAGGTCATTCCACATCTGTGGAACGACACGTGAAAAGAGTCTGGATTGTCCTGAGCGTGGTTTTGTCACTGCTAGCCGACAATCCTTTGATGACTGGAGTGGCCAGGCCGTGACGTAAGCCTTTACAAGAGGATCCAGGTAGATGGAATCCATACCATCCAGGACTTTGTATGCAACCGTTAACCATTTGAATTTGGTGCGTGCAACTAACGGTAGCCAATGGAGCTCAGTGAACAGAGAGGTGTTTCTTTGGGCTGATTGAAGACCAGGCACGCCGCTGCATTCTGGACCATTTGAAGAGGTCTCACAGGACAGGCTAGAAGACCGGTTAGAAGGGCATTGTAGTAGTCGAGGCGGGAGATGACAGTAGATTACACCAGGAGCTGGGTGGCATTTAGTGTTAGGTACGGTCTGATCTTTTGTGTGTCATACAGCACGAAGCGGCATGAACGAGCGACAGAGGCAACGGGATCTTAAAAGGTCAACTGGTCATCAGTCACAACACCCAGATTTCGAACTGTCTTTGAAGGAGCCAGAGATAGGGAATCATGTGTGCATATCATTAATACTAATGAGTAAAGCCTGAGTTATACTTCGTTGTGGGCTCTGCAAGGGAGAGACGTACACGGAGTGTCGGAAAGGCTTTCACATTCAAACTTCTGCGCAAGCAGTGGAGTGTAGCAAAGCAATTCTCCGCCAGGACAACAGAGGGCGTAGTGTTTTTCTGTGGTAATCTGCCACCATTACACTCGAGTATCTGGTCCCCGATAGTGTAGTTACTAATGTGTTTATATATTTCTGAGACTTGATAACAAGGACAAATTTGTCCTACATTCTCCTCCACCTCTTTATGCGCTCGCCACCTCATTCATGTTTCCCATCATTTCCATCCACGTTTGCTCTGTATTTTGTACTCCTTCACTCACGAGTGAATAAATGTTTTTATTTTCAGAAATTTTCCGTGATGTGTTCTTTAATCTGTTCTGGGTCTGCCGCTCAATATCTTTTTAATTTTTAACAGGGCAACAGCAGTGCTGATGATGAATTTACAGGAAGCGACATATTGACCAATCATGAGCTTGCGGTCTTCGTCACTTTTGACAGATGTTTAAAACTTTGGGCGTGTCTCCGTCACCCTCTGTGAGCCCTTCGGAAAGCCCTTACGCCAATGTATAATGGGGGTTGCGTGTCTCTGCCCTGTATCTCTGCACCGCGTCTAATCTGTATATTAATATTTTTTCATTTTTTTTCATTCATTTTCATTTTTATTTCGAGCCAGAAGTGTATATATTGATGCTAAAATCCAATTGGCAGATATTAACAACAGTAAATTGAATGGAGTATAGGGAGCCTAAGTCACTTCCGCATCATGGGTCCGCAGAAGAACTAAAAAATGAAAGCAAGTCAACGGGGCTAAAAACGTTATTTTCTAATCCGCTTTGCCTTACGCCCTGGATCATACATGCGTTGTACTGAAATTTAAATGAAAAGTAATGATGGGTGTTCCGACCATGCCAGTCACGTACTTTGAGCTTCATTAGCTTGTAAACGTTTGTAATTAGCATGACTACAAACTAGAAATTGGCATGTTGCACATGTGACATCACCACATAATCCCCTCTCCCCTAACGTAGCTGCTACTTACCAAATGACCGGATTTATGGTGGTTATTTCCTCCTGTGGAAAGTTTGCTGAACTTACAGCCATTTTCCTTCAGTTTTCTCCGTGTCTGGTTCGATTTTCACACAAAACCTAAAATATTGTTCCTCCCTGTTTGAAAATAAGCACATTCTTGGTATCAAAATGTGTCTTTAAAATTCACGGACATCATATGTGAAATCCATGGCACAAAACAAGCGGGATTAGAAAATAGCGTTTTTAGCCCCGTCGACTTGCGTTCATTTTTTCGTTCTTCCAGGGACCCGTGATGCAGAATTGACTAATGGGCTCCCTATGGAGCAGCAGTACAGGGCAGCTGATAAAAGGATTTTTTTTTATTTATTGGATGTTCACTCATCTCTTAGAATTAGTGACAATGGGGGTAACAGCTTGAAAGTGGGTGTCAAATCTGTGAAATTACATATATTTTGCAACTTATGTTGAAAGATTTTTAGACATAACAAATTCTTCTTTTCTTTTTGACACAGTTTCAGATCATCAGTGCATACGCTTGTGTAATAAACATACTGTGTTCCAGCAGTGAAAGCTCTGAATTGTAAAATGACGATTAAAGGAGTTTGTTAATGAAGAAAAATGGTTTTATACCAAGTCTCCTTCCTTCTACAGCGAGGCGCAGACACGTTGCGAGCCGACACCACAGACAGGTGAGTTTTGACCCCATGCTTGTGAAAATCAGAATAATTATGTTTTTGTTGTTACATCAACGTCTACATTTGGTTTTGTAGGTACTCTGGCACGGGGAGCTCAGGAGCTGCTTCCATGAGGAAGGTACGAGAGTTATATTTTGTTTTGTGTAAATTGGTATGAGCTATTCCTGATACAGTATGAAATAATGGTTTCTCTCTAGTACATTTTGATTTTAGCTCAGTTTAACGAAGCAGGACAGCGTTCACTTGCATCAGCCATCTCCTAGCAACCTCATCCGCTGTGTTGCATGGAGATCGATTATGTATAAATAATAGCTTAACATGCAGCCAGCCAGGGCTAGGAGATATTTCTGAGATTAAAGCCATTCAGAGCTTTGATGAGCAAATCAAAAACATTTGAACAAGGTAAATTGGTTTCCATTTTTAGGTTGCTGTGACACACAAGTTGTCTTAGTCATTCACTTTTTCTCCAATGCTCAGTGACTAGTAGCTTTTACTGTGGCTCGTTTGTCACTGGCGGAAACCCACGTTTGTTTTTGATTACAAAAAATGGGTATGCTCCTGTTTCAGGAGGGAGAAGTTTGTGGCCGGAAAATGGCTTTAATTATTCTGATCACTACAATCATGTCGAGGTGTTAAAAGGAACCCAAATAGGTGGCAGAACCAAGTTGAACTAAAATGTAAAAGTGACAACATGGTATCAACAAATAAATAACTCTAAAAAAATCCAATAAACATAAAACAAGAAAACATTAAGAACTAAAAATACCAGACACTAACATGACCTAAAGAACAGCAACAGAATAATTACATTATTGACTAGAACATGCCATCAGGTATCTGAAATAGTTCAGCAGGTTAGCAGTTTAAATACACATGAGGTGTAAATATAACTGGTAGAAGCTTTTAGGACAGAGACTAACGATTAAAAGTAATAATAAAGAAAATAAAACTAAGTAAGGAGGGATAACTCAGTGAATCACCCATCATCTTGTATCTTTGCTCCTTTCTACTGCTACCAACAAACTCTACAAGTGTTTACCCCACAATGAGCAGTTTTTTTTCTTGTCAATTTAGTTGATTTTTTAATGCACAAATCCCAACTGTACAGCTTTCTTTTGTTTTTGTTCTACTTTTTCTTTTACTTTTGTAAAACGTTCTGCTGGTACTCAGAATTTCCCTACTAGGGTAATAATTGCTAAAGGGAGCCGAAGTCATGCCCATCTACTTCCGGACCACCGGTCCCTGGAAGAATGAAGAAAGGAATGCAAGTCAATGGGGCTAAAAACACTATTTTCCAATCCACTTTGCCTTATGCTCTGGATCGCAAATATGTTGTACTTCAATTTAAATGAAAAATAATGGTACTTTGAGATTTATCAGCTTGTAAAAGTTCGTAATGACTACAGATCAGATGCCGGTGCATCGCTCATGATGTCACCACAGAATCTCCTCTCCCCTAGCTTAGTTGCTAAAACCACATGGTAAGATTTATGGTGGTTATTTCCTCGTAGACGAAGGATACGAAGTTCGCTAAACTTACAGCCATTTTTCCTCTGTTTTTCTCCATTTCTGGTTCGATTACATCAATTTATTAATGCACATTTGTAGTACTGGACATATTTTCACACAAAACCTAAAATAACATTTCCCCCCATTCAAAAATAAGTGCTTTCTTGGTATCAAAATGCATCTTTTAAATTACAGACATCGTATGTGAACACATAACAAATGGAATTAGAAAATAGCATTTTAGCTGGTCTGGAAGTTTAGACTTAAGCCTGATTCATGCTTCTGGGTCTGCGTCAGTGCGGAGACACACAACGCCATTATCCGTCCTTGCGGGTCTACTGGAGAGCTCCGCAAGACGGACGGAGTCGAGCTCTCTTTTCTAAACATCCGTCCGTTGAGACGGAGAACCAAGCTTGTGATTGGTCAGGGCCATCGACATAATATACAGGGACATCTTCTTTCCATTGGCTCCAATATCACGTTTTTGATCCGAAATGGGAGGTGGCCACCACCGCCATTTTGACCGTGTCACAGGTTCCGTCAAGCCCAGACAATTCCATAAAAGGTAAGAGAGGAGGAGCTGAGGGTGGGGCTGTAAGGCTGGGATCAACTGACAACACCTGGTCGAACTAGCTACAAGCTAACCTGAAGCTAACCCAAAGCTAATGCGGAGGTGGGAGCTAAACTAACGGAGGTAGCAACCTAGCTACAACCGGAGTTAACTGTGCACAACACCAGAGCTTCTGAGTCAGAGATACGCCGGGCTGACCGCTGGGTAAAACCGGGTGGAACACAAAGGTCTTGGAGACCTCCACAAGCCGGCAGCCGCACAGCAGACAAGCGCTGCTGCGATCTGAGATGCGCATAGCTGCCGCTGGGGAGAACCGGGTGGAAAGGTTTCCATCCCAAAGCTCCACAAGCCGTCAGCCCGTGCACAGAATCCGCGATCAGACAGATGTGCCGAGCTGCTGGGAGAACCAGCCGCCCGCCTGCGCAGCTAACAGAAGCCGCGATCAGACAGAGATGGACCGGGCTGCGGGGAGAAACAGCCGGCATTCCGGGTGGAAAACATCGGTCTCCCGAGAGCTCCGCAAGCCGATAGTGGGAACCCAGCTCCACCAACATGTTATATTTCAACCCATTTTCTAAAATGCAGCATTATGTTAAATGCACTGGGTTTACCCTATTACATTTAAATTTCATGGTTAAACAGTACATGTTAAAATCTAAGCTCAGCTCGGCAGTGACCTAAAATACATAAATATAATTTTACTTACCGAAAAAATGAAGTGGAGACTCCTTGGACGCTCTATTAGTGCAATTAATACCACAGCAAGTCATTTTGTCCAACAATTGCACAAAAATATCCAAACAAGAATACACAAACACAGAGACTCAAAATCCCGGAGCAGTTTCCAGGCCAGACCGAGGCTCTACTGAGGCCTTTCCACGGAGCTAGCTCTGTGGTCACGTGGGTCTGATGCTCATTAATTATACAGAATTTTAGGCTTTTAATACACTTAAACAGAAGAGTGAGAAAAAATTCACCCCCCTCAGAGTTGTCATGAGTGTAAACTAGATCATTTAAACCAAAAACATGTTTTGGTACCAGGCTGTAAACATGTTTATTTCTGCTGTGAAATTGGTATTTTTAACATGGGAGTCAATGAGGATTTGCTCGTTTCTGATACCAGCCCCCAGTGGATGAGGGTGGAACTGCAATTTTTGGTACTTCCGGGTTTGACTCAATTTTAAAGCCGCATTGTGGGGGCTTGGTCAGGACCGCTGTCGTCCACACTGCCGCCATTGCGCCCTCAAAAACATAAAGAGAGCCGAGGATAACTTGTGGCAGACACGGAACAGCTTGAAGAATACCTCGCGAAAAAACTCTTAAAAATATGAATGTTTAATTCCCCGTGACTGGAGGAGTGAAAAAATGTGCAGCAAGCATTTTATTTGTGGACAGAAATGACAGGAAACGTGGGTTTAGAGGTGGCGAGCGCATGAAGAGGTGGAGGAGGATGAGAGACAAATTTGTCTGTGTTAAAAAGTCTCTTATATACAAAAAACACAATATAAACACACTATCTTGGACCGATACATGACAGGATACCACAGAACAGCGCTACGCCCTCTGTTGTCCTGGCGGGGAATTGCTTTGCAACACTCCCCAGGAGACGGAGAAGTATGAGAGCAAAACATCTCCGTCCGTGCGTGCGTGTCTCTCCCTGTTGGAGCTGACGGAGAAGCATGTATCAGGCTTTAGGCTCCCAATTCTATTCTATTCTGTCACATGTCCTCTCTTAGCTAATGTTTTGTTTTGTTTTCTCTTCTAGTCTTTCCATTACACGTCTTTAAGAACAAAAACCAAAAGGAGAAGTAAAGGTAGGCATTATGCTGCGGTTTTATTCCTTCTCTAATTTATCACCATAACTTACAGTACTTGTGATATTGTCAGCATATGTAGATATTTTAACCTTGAATCTGTGTCTTCACTGCGGCGAGTCAGCCTGAGAGGATGACAAGACTTAAATTAATATCAAAAGAACATCAGGTGGTTTTTATATATTTGGAACCTCCTGATGTACTATTCTTGATAAAAATAGATAAAACACACACCAGACAGTGACTGCTGCGCTCTTGCTCCAGTTTTGTCCTCTGTTTGACTCACTGTAATTAATTGTTAGCTTTTTTGGGCAGCCTCAATTTGTCACTGTCTCCGGTGTAATGTGCACTGAATTTTACAAGGAGTTGCATATGTACTAAAAATCCACTTTCACGACTGACACTTATTTTATTATTATAATTTTGTTTTTGCATGCTCTGACCTTCTTTAGGTTCCGTCACGAGTGCCAGTCGAAGGAGAATATCCTGTAAGGACCTGGGTCACGGTGACTGTGAGGGCTGGCTGTGGAAGAAAAAAGACGCTAAAGGCTATTTCACCCAAAAATGGAGGAAGTACTGGTTTATCCTCAAAGAATCCTGCCTCTACTGGTACACTAACCAAAATGTAAGATCTCAGTCACTTCCTTATTTAAACGTAAAGCAATTGTATTTCAGTAATCAAAAATCAAAACAATTAAAATGCAAAAAGGGGGAAATTGGGAGGACATCACCAATGATCTTGTATTTGTTTCTTCTGTACGTATGAATACAGCTTTTTAAAAACGTTTTACTGATGCCATAAAAACATATTTCAGGTTAATAGTTGTGAATTCAAACCTGTTTTAACACCAAACAACTGAATGATTAACATCAGATTTATGAATCCTTTTTTATATCGAACTGAAGGATTATGCCATGTTTGGCAATTCATCATATATGATCAAGAAATTATGTCAATTATTATGAAAATGTCAAATCTTTAGGCAGGCAAATAATTTGTTTGATATGTGTTATATGGTTTCATTCCGTATACGTTTTTGTTAAAGCACATTTTCATCCCTGGAATAAATTTTTCTCATTTAGAAAAGTGTGATTTTACAGAAAAGGAGTCTAGATTGTCTAATTTTCCTAACAAATCCGTTCAAGCCCATGTTGCAAAAATGAGTACACCTCAATTATAGTCTTAGGAGAAAAGCCACACAAAATTCAAATTAACAGGAATTCAACCACAGGTGAGTCTAATGATTCATTTAAGAGGTGTCAAGCAGACAGGTGAGTCATTAAAGGGCATTACTTAACAAAGAAAAGCTCTTCCCATTTGTTGCTGTCAGCAATGGCTCCACATGGAAGAGAAATGTCAGAACACCTGAGAAAGGAAATCAAGGTGAGGGCTACAAGAAGGTCAGCAAAGCTTTACATATCATTCAAAATACTGTAGCAGAAGTGCAACCATCTTACAGATGTCCAGACCGTCTATGGAAGTTAACATCTGGACAGGAGCATCTTCTGATGAGAAGGGTTGAAGCAAATCACCATGCAAGTTCACTGCAGTTAGCTAAAGAAGTAGAAAGCCAAACTGGAGTGATCGTTTCCCGTGACACCATACGGTGCACACTGCAGAGGAATGGCATGCATGAGTATCGTCTACGAAGGAAAGCCCATGGACAAAAAAGCACACCTAGGATTTGCCAGGGCCAATGCTGAAAGAGATGAAGAATATGTTTTTGGTTTTTCCAATAGTAAATTTAAAAATGAATTTTTTAGTTTCATACTTTTTTAAATTCTTAAAACATTCTGGCCCTGTCTGGGCTCCATATATACGGGTACTAATCAACGTCATTGGTCTCCGTAGTATTATTTTATAGGGCTGGGCGATAAGTCCATATTTAACCATTATCGAAATTTCTGAACCGATATAATTTTTCTCATGTCAATAACTTCGATAATAAAAAATGAAAAGATTGTAGTAGGTTGGTGACATTCATGTCCCTTTAAGAAGCTGGACCACCTCATGTCACAGCGTTCAGCATAAATGAGTACACAAGTTCAGAGAGCCATGGCTCTCTGATGTCACACGGGCTTGCAGGCGGGCGTGTAGATCCTCTGAGAGAAAGTGGAAAAAGGATGGCCTACAGGTCTCGCGTGAGTTGTTCAGAGCATCTCTGGTTGCTTATCAGGATGCTGTGAAGGCCGCCAGAATGGCCTATTTTGCAGACATCATTGAGACAAACTCCAATAATCCTAAGATTCTCTACAAAACGCTAAACTCAGTTCTGGTGTATCAGGAGCCTAGCTCCATGTCTCCTACAGCTGCTGGAAACTCTGAAGCTTTTCACAAATTCTTTGTTGATAAAGTGTCGGGCATTAGAGCAGCTATTTCAGGTAACTCTGTTGACCCTGTTCCAGTTCCTCCATCACCACCCACCCTGAGCTCCCTCAATACTGTTTCATACTCTGAGCTGAGTAAGCTAGTTGCGAGACAGAAGCCATCTGGCTCTCCACTTGACGTTCTGCCACCTCGTCTCTGGAAGGCTGCCTTTCCGTGTCTTGGCCCTTCACTTGGTCAGATTATCAATGGGAGCCTCAGCACAGGTGTGGTCCCAGCTGCTTTGAAAGCAGCAGTTAATCGGCCGACCCTGAAGAAGCCTGGTGCTGATGTCTCTGTGACTGAAAATTACAGGCCTATCTCTACCCTGCCTTTTACATCTAAACTGCTTGAGAAAGTCGTTTATCAGCAGCTGGTCTCACATTTAGCTGACTCTGATCTGTTTGAGGTTTTCCAATCAGGGTTCAGGTCTGGCCATAGCACAGAGTCTGCTCTACTGAGGGTCCTAAATGACATCTATCTATCACTAGATCAGGGAACATCTGTGCTGCTTCTGTTATTAGACCTGACAGCAGCCTTCGACACAGTTGACCACGTGATTCTACTCGATCGCTTGGAACGATGGGTTGGGATCAAAGGGTCAGCTCTAGATTGGTTTAGATCGTATCTCCAAAACAGGACATTCTGTGTTAAACTGGGTGATGTTTTTTCTTCTTGGGAGGGGCTCCGCTGGGGGGTCCCGCAGGGGTCGATCCTTGGTCCTCTTTTGTTTGCCATTTATCTGCTACCTCTGGGGTCAATCTTTCGTAAACATGGCCTATCATTCCATCTGTATGCTGACGATTGCCAGATTTACTCTCCATTGTGTCAGGAGAAAGGTCACTCTATTCAGTCCTTTGTCTCCTGTGTTAATGAGGTGAAGTCTTGGCTAATGTCCAATTATCTACATCTGAATGAGGGAAAGACAGAGCTCATTGTTTTTCACCCCAACAGCAGGAATGTGGATCGTTATGTTGATCTTGGCCCTCTTTCTCCATACTCAAAACCAGTTGTTACCAGTTTGGGGGTGAAACTTGATGTAGGACTTAAATTTGACGCTCACATCAATTCTGTGATCCAGTCCAGTTTCTTTCACCTGAGACGCCTTGCTAAAATCAAGCCTATGCTGTCGAGAGCCCACCTGGAGCGGGTACTGCATGCCTTTGTTATTTCTCGGCTTGACTACTGCAACTCTCTATATGCAGGGTTGTGTCAGTCAACACTGCATCGCCTACAGGTTGTGCAGAACAGCGCTGCCAGGTTCCTGACTGGGACCAGGAAATGGGACCACATCAGTCCGGTTCTGGCCTCTCTGCACTGGCTTCCGATTTGCTATCGCTCACAATTCAAAATCCTCGTCTTTGTTTATCATTTCTTCCAGGGTGGTGGTCCCCCCTATCTAGCCACACTCCTGAAAAGACACTCCCCATCACACGCTCTGCGCTCCTCTGACCAAGGCCTGCTCGCTTTCCCTCGGTCTAGGTGTCGTACCCGTGGGGACCGGGCTTTCTCAGTCCTAGCACCGTCACTCTGGAACCAGTTGCCACCCTCAGTTAGGCTGTCCCCTTCTCTGCCAGTCTTTAAGAATCACCTAAAAACACACCTCCTCCGCTTGGCGTTTCCAGAACATGTTTGATTTTGGCCCTCTTTTATGTTGAATCCATTCCACAGTTTTCATTGGTACACTCAATCCATCCACTCAATCCAATTGTGTTTCACACATTTGTCCTTTACCAGAATGTTTCATCTATCTTGTAAATTCCATTTTGTATTTTGTAATTTGTATTTCTTTTATTGTTGATTTATTCAATATATTTACATACAACTGTACAATGTTCAGCGTTTTGGGCTTCCTGACAGGGTTGCGGAAGGCGCTTTATAAATAAAGCTTTGATTGATTGATTGATTGATTGACAAGTTGACAAGTAATTAAAATTGCACCCACATTTAAATTTTCGCAGCAGCGAAACGCATCAGGGACAAATAAAAGACAGCAAGCATAAAAGGATACGAGCTGAAATAAATGTTCGCGTGTTAAGATTGTTTTTCAGGTGGCGACACCTTGAAGTTACTGTGGCCGTTCTCAGGACACAGCTGTCCGGAGCGCATCAACGATCAGAGCTCTGCGCCTCTCAGCTCTAAATAATCCCTGAAGAGTCCACATAGATAATGTAATGTAAGTAGAATCAGGATCTTTTTTTGGACTCTCCCTTTAGCTGCCTTTAGCTCACCTGTAATTCGAATCCTGCGTATAGCACAAGTTCGTCGCGTGAGTTACCGAATCCTAGCGGACAGTTGCCGGAATGGTCCTGTCAAAATAAAATAGTTCCCGGATCTTGTTCTGGTAATTTCCGGCTCGAATTAAGCCCTGGTCTTACTTGAACACAGAAATAATGATTGCTTGCAATGATTTAGGTATGAACTGCCTCCTATCGCCAGGGAAAATACACACTGTCAATTTAAGCAAGTGTTCGATAAAACCCAGTCTTGTGAAAATTCTGGAAATTGTTCTTTTGTTCATTGGCTACGGATTAAATTTGTACTTTTTAAAGGGGATGTACTCTTTTATGCTGAGCACTGTAGGCAGTTTTTGTCTACCAAAAACTCTGACCTGCTTTTCTTTGTAAATTAGTGATGTTGTAATGGCCATGAGGACACGGGTCGCTCTAAGAAAAGCAGGTCTAACACATCATTAGCTCAGACACACCACCTCGCATGTCCCAACCCGCTTCAGCGTTCGCAATATATAAATGTTGGTGCAGGTGATGCTAACGACAGAGCAACGCTACCCTGCACTGACGCTAATTCAAGCTAAGGCTAATGCTAGCCCAAGCTAGTGCTAAAGTCCTTTGTAGGGCAAGTGGAAAACAACAAAGAAGAATGTTGGCACGCATACATAATGTTCCAGGATGTACAGGCAATATGCAGAGTTTGAATGAATGCCAGACAGATCCGCAGCTTGTCTGTTGACAAGCATCGACATACTGATTACGTTTACATGCAGCCAATATCCGGGTTATGATCAGGTTAAGGTCGGTATTCGGGTTTCTGAGTTGATCAGAATAACCCGTTTACAAGCATAAATAGAAAGAGTTACCCCTAACTTGCATAACCCGATTTAAATGCGGAGGTTGGGGTAGCGTCAGGACGTATGGACTACGTCCAGACGCAATATGCGTCATTTCTGGTTCTTCTTCTTCCAGTATCCGTGAAAACAACAACACGTTTCCCAGTTCGGAAGAGATAGCGACCGCATTTGTTTGCGCTTTAGTTTCCTCGTCACTCCAAAAGTGTGGTGCTGTGCCGCGACTCGCCATGTTGCTCCCAACTTGTTGTTTACTTCCGGTGTTCTGGCGCATACAAGACGTCTCGCTACTCAAAAGACCAAGATTCCTTGCGAACAGAGCATGCGCAGAACACACGCTTTGATGGGGATATCCCGGTATGCGTTTACACGACCAAACATTCGGGTTAGAAAAGGGTAACCCCAGGTGTAGTAACTGGGTTTTAAAAAACCCGGTTATGATCATATCCGGGTTTTTTGCGGTGTTTACAAGGACCTGCGGAACCGGGTTATTGTGAATATTCGGGTTTTAAAAGGGTTACTGGCTGCATGTAAACACACTCATTGTATATACTGGACAATTCATTTCCATAGGCTCCAATAACACATTTTTTAGGCTAAATGGGAGGTGGGAGCCATTTTGACCGTGTCACAGGTTCCGTCAAGCCCAGACAATTCCACAAAAGGGAAGAGAGGTGGAGCTGAGGGTGTGGCTGTAAGGCTGGGATCAAACAGAGATGCGCCGAGCTGCGGGGAGGGGAGAACGGGTGGAAAACATCGGTCTCCCGAGAGCTCCACAAGCCGATAGTGGGAACCCAGCTCCACCAACATGTTATATTTCAACCCATTTTCTAAAGTGCATCATTATGTTAAATGCACTGGGTTTTACCCTATTACATTTAAATTTCATGGTTAAACAGTACATGTTAAAATCTAAGCTCAGCTCGGCAGTGACCTAAAATACATAAATATAATTTTACTTACCGAATAAAATGAAGTGGAGACTCCTTGGATGCTCTATTAGTGCAATTAATGCCACAGCAAGTCATTTTGTCCAACAGTTGCACAAATAATATCCAAAACAGAATACACAAACACAGAGACTCAAAATCCTGGAACAGTTTCCAGGCCAGACCGAGGCTCTACTGAGGCCTTTCCATGGAGCTAGCTCTGTGGTCACGTGGGTCTGATGCTCATTAATTATACAGAATTTTAGGCTTTTAATACACTTAAACAGAAGAGTGAGGAAAAAATTCACCCCCCTCAGAGTTGTCATGAGTGTAAACTAGATCATTTAAACCAAAAACATGTTTTGGTACCAGGCTGTAAACATGTTTATTTCTGCTGTGAAATTGGTATTTTTAACATGGGAGTCAATGAGGATTTGCTCGCTTCTGACACCAGCCCCCAGTGGATGAGGGTGGAACTGCAATTTTTGGTACTTCTGGGTTGGCCTCAATTTTTGAGCCGCTTTTGGGCCATTCCCATCTGTAGCGGGTCGGCCCGGGCCGGGTAGCGTAGGTTGTTTACATATCTGGGTGGCCTGGTATTTTTCCGGGCCAACCAAGGCTCATTCTCGGCCCTCTTCTCGAGGAGGTCTGCTTCAGGCCGACCAGGGCCAACACACCCACTGCTGACAGCAAATTCACACCTTTCATTAGAGCAAGCCTCTGATTGGTGGGTAGAATCAGCCCACATGGGCTTAAGACAAGGATGTGTGGAATCAACCGGGCCAGGCTGGGGCCGACTGGGGCTACCCGGCCCGGGCCGACCCGGTACAGATGGGAATGGCCCATTTGTGGGGGCTTGGTTACAAGGCTGATAATTTAATATTCACGTTCTGGCTGATTGGGTTGGGTAAATCAGTCTTTACATTGAAGGCCTTTATTATGGGGTACATTTAGCCATTTATCTCGGCTCTTCTGCGACGGACTGGCTCTCTGTCCAGGGTGTACCCCGCCTGATTGCCTTTTGACCGCCAGAGATAGGACCCAGCCCCCCCCCCCCCCCCCCCCCCCCCCCCCCCCCCGCGACCCTACGTGGACAAAGTGGGTTCATGGATGGATGGATGGATGGATCTTGGCTCTTGGGTCATTTTGAACTCCAACAAAGTTATGTGCCTTAGAGAATCTCAAAGATCAGTTTGCAATTGTAAAAAAATGCTCTAGCACCACTTTAATCATTGAAAAGCACGACTAGTTACCTTCAGAGTGGCCAATAGCCTTGCCTGGGACAAGATTACTATATTCAGGCTGGCAGTTTGTTACCATCCCAGCCTCTCTGCCTGCAGCTCTTTCGAGGTCTTTTCTTTTCGGAGACATCATTGTTACTCTGTTTTGTTTTTGTGTCACCAACATGCTCCACCCTGTAAAGATGTGATGTAATCTTATTTGGTAATCCTAGATTTAGAATACATTTGTACTGAAAAACTTTTCAAAATAAAAGCTTCTTCTTATTGTATTAATCTATCACAAAATAACAAAATCCTAACAGCAATACTACTGTTATTTAGTCCTCCATAAATTAAATATTTTGTTTCAGAGAGCTTCAGCTCATCTGTGGAGCATGGAGCCTATCCATGCCAATGTAAACAACATATCTTGTTTTCATATGCTCCACTAAACCAATACTAACACCAATAAAATTGGTATATCAGCACGGCTGACATTTTGTTCTCTGTGTTGATGTACTGCTACTCTCCATCTGTTTCCGCCTGCAGGATGAGAAGGCTGAGGGCTTCATCAGCCTCCCCGAGTTCAGAATAGACCGAGCCATAGAGTGCAGACGGAAATTGTGAGTTCCCCTCACATGTCGCCAGAATTACTAATCACGCACATTTACTCTCACCCACACAACGTGAGTGCACACAAACCTATCATGCATGCACAAAAACGCTAATCAGTCTGTCTCCCTCTTGTCTTCCTGCAGTGCCTTCAAAGCCTGTCATCCCAAAATCAAGAGCTTCTTCTTCGCCACAGATTGTCTTGAGGAAATGAACAGGTGAGTGTGTGTGTGTGTGTGTGTGTGTGTCTGAGACAACAATAGTTAGAAACTCAGGATGTCACCTGTCTTTCCATGAATATTTTAGATGAGAAACACAAGTTTACATGGCCCACCAACACAGCACGGTGCATGAATAAGGCATGATCCAGACCCTCTGTTGATAAATGTAAAGCTGGTAATGTGTGTGTGTGTGAATCTGTGTATGTGTGGGTCACGTGTGTGCATGTGTGAGAGGGAGATTGTGATATTTGCAGGAGTGCTATCTGATGAGCTCTAATTATCCACACCTCTCCCCAGCGACATGTAGGGATAATTGGGGGGTCGTAATTAACCAGCTGTATTTGATTCCTGCACAGCATTTGTTAGTTCTTGGTTAATGGATTATGTTTTGCTGCTCATGTGTCTTTTTGTGTTTTATGTTTTTCAACCCTGTTGCCTTGCAGTGAGAAGGTCCTGGGTTTGATGACCGACCTGGGATCTTTCTGCATGGAGTTAGCATGTTTGCCCTGTGCATGCGTGGGTTCTCTCCGGGTTCTCCGGCTTCCTCCCACAGTCCAACAACATGACTGTTAGGTTGATTGGTCTGTCCAAATTGTCCTTAGGTGTGTGTGTGTGTGTGTGTGTGTGTGTGTGTGTGTGTGTGTACGCACGCATGATTGTCCTGTGTGTCCCTGTGTTGCCCTGCGATGGACTGGCTCTCTGTCCAGGGTGTACCCCGCCTACTTTCCCGTTGACTGCTGGAGATAGGCACCAGACCCCCCCCCACCCCCCACCCTGCGTGGACAAAGCGGGTTCAGAAGATGGATGAATCAGCAAAGAATGTCTTGGCTACTAGTAGCTAACCTTGTCAGTGGCCTAGTAGAGGTCTGGGTTAAAAACCGGTTGAGTCACACCAAAGACTCGAAGAAATACCTATGATTTTAAAAATGGAACCCAATGCCTCCCCACTTGACACTCAGCTTTGAGGGGTTGAATTGGTGGTTTAGACCACCAAATAATTTCTGAGCACCACTCCCCACAGCGATGAGATGGGTCAGATGTGGACATGTAATTTCATGTTTGCATTAGGAACCCCACAACACAGCAAAACTCCTTCAGGCTTGTGTTATTTGTGGAGATAAAACATCAACGTTGCAGAGCAAAAAGAGACGGAAGTAGAGTTGTGTTGCTGTTAGCCAATCAGAGGTGAGATTTCAAAATATTAGGAAATAGCTTGCCAAATCATGCCATCTTCTGCCACGTTCTCCTCCAGCTAACTTCTACGTCCTCATACTGGAGCATCTGAGCTTTTTTCCTCAGAGTATGACTTGTAAGGCAATAATTCCTATTAGAGACCCCTGCAAATGTATTAAATAGACCCATAAGGGTTCTTGGTTCCTACTTGTCATCATCGAATTATTGTTATGGAAATTATTGACTCATGAGGTCACTTTATTTTGCATCTCACTTATAAACAATGACCTTCTGGAGAGTTCTGGGTGTGTCCTGGGATCTCCACCCAGTTGTATACCCTGGAAGACCCTCCAAAGTAAGCTGACCAATAGGGTAATCCCAATTCAATGCCTGAACAACATCAACTGACTATTTTAGCGGAAGTGGATTTTCAAGCCTTACTGACCACCAAAAAGCATGTTACCCTACGAGCCACATTTATACACTCATGCACTCCTGAGTGTCAGACTGGTGATTGGGGATGGGATGGGCCATGGGATGGGGAAACCCGTATCAAAGCATCAAAACACCAGATGACTGCTACTCCCGCTGAGCCACATCCATCCCATGTGGAGGAGAAGCTTCATGAACCAACTGTCCAAACAAGGGATGGCTGGATGATGAACAAGCTGTTCAATCAGGAATGTTGACTTGTGGCTTAACTCATTTGTCACTAGAGAATGAAGCCTTCATTACTGGAAGATAGCCTAAAATCATCTGTACAGTGCTATCCTGTCATCCCTTGTAAACAACACACCAAGATACCTAAATCCCTTTACTCCAAGCAAAGACTCTCTCCAAACCCAGTGAGGCCATTCCACCTTTCTCTAACCAAGTCCAAAGAGCTCGGATTTGAAGGAGGTCATCATGACCAGTTCTCACTCAGTTGAAAACTACTTCAGTGTTTGGTCAAAGCTGTGACCTAAAAATCACAATAGAACATCATCTGCAAAACATAACATCATGAGATCATCATTGGGAGACAGACCACTTCAATTCTAATGGTTCAACCTGTGTTTTCTGCAGGTGGATGAATCGATTGGGGTTAGCTGCCATTGGCTACACACCTGATGATAAAGTACCACGACCTGATGAAGGTGTGACATGCTGATTTCTCTAAAAGCTTCTCTCAAGTCTTTCTGTTGATGAATTCTTGTGAGCAGTTCTCTTCTTCAAATCAGACTACTGGAGTGAAAGTGACCAAGATGAGGTTGATGGATCGATGACACTCAAACAGGAGGGACCTTCATCCCTCTGCGACACCTACCATCGCACACCATCTGTAAGTAAGGCTCAGTCGAGCACGTTCACTCTGCAGTTTTATTCTGATAGCCTAGTTTTCAGAGCTGCATAGACCCAAACTCACAGCATTAGTGAACCATCAGAGTGGGAGATTATCTGGTTCTGTTTGCAGCCAACACCATCATTTTTGATGGGATGCTGCCAGAGCCTTTACTCTGTCTGACCTGCAGGTGGCAACAGTTCACTCTGCTCATTACATTTCTTCTCTGTGGCTGTTCAGATGACTACCCTCTTGTCTGACAGCCCCTCTACCATGAAAACCCAAACGAAACCATTCTGCAGTTATGGAGTTATGCATCTGCCATTCCATGGCTTTTTTTTTTTTTGCTCTCATCTTTTGATGTATTTCTGCCCTTTACAACTCCCTGTTCTCTTCTGTCCTCTCCATCCTGGCACACCTTGCTTGTTTGCCACTTTTTCTGTCTGTCTGTCCTCACATGTCACCTGCCTGGATACTTTTTTCTGTCCCTGCTCACCCTGATCCATACCGATCAATACCACCTACTCAGATTCACCTCCTCCACAGTTATGACCAGTTGCCCCGCTCTGTCAGCTCCATGAGCCTCATGCGCTCCATTCCTTCTCCACTCCCAATGAGTGCCTCCACTTCCCCCATCCCTCCACAGATGGTCTCTTCCACCTCCCCTCTCCCTCTCCAGGTGAATTCATCCAGCCCTTTCCCGGAGTCCAAGCACGGTCGACATTTCTCCAGCGAGTCCACACACTCCCACTCCTCGGCAGAAGACCAGCGTGGGGATGGCATGGGCATGGGCACAGGCAGCACCAGTACCCATTCATCTGGGTGCCGCTCTTCCCATCGTGAGCGTCGCTCCTGGCAGGACCTCATTGAGACCCCTCTGACCAGTGCGGGGCTGCACTTCCTCCAGACGGCACCAGGGGACAGCGAATACGGTGGCCTGATGAGTGGCATGGGCGGAGAGATGGGGTTTTACGGAGGGCTTGGCAGACATGGAATGTCCCCAGAGAGACGTAGACAAGCCACGTTGCCTGTACGGAGACACCACGCAGCAGAGAGAGATCGGGAATGGGACGGGCCCTTCCCTCTGGAACGGGGGCCATACACACACAGCCACACACACCGACGCTCCCACAAGCAGCGCAGTCAGAGTCTACCGAGGAATAGGGACCCAATGTCAGGAAAACTTATTCACACGTCCGCTCATGTGGAAGAGAGAAGTGAGGACGAGGAGGCAGAGGGACTAGCTGGCGATATGTTTGAGGGAGAGGACGGTAAGAACATCACATTGTTTGGATTTTTACTATAATAATTAAATTTAGCTGAAAGCATAAAATTTGAGTTAAAACCTGAGTTCAGTTAGCTCACCAAAAATAAGTTTTACATTAAAGATGTAACGTCACGAAATGGCCTGGTTTTGAGATCCCACAGGTGAAATGCACAGCCAGGTCAACTTACCCTGGCTATGACACATCCTACAATCCTTTCCCCTCACAGGAGACTCAAAGTCTGCATGTAGTCCCTTTATTCAGAGCCTACTTCCTCACACCTGCTGGACTGCAGAGATAATAAATGATCAACAATAAACATTTTCTCCTCCTCACAGAGGAGCTCTTTAAAATAAACTCCTTAAATCCCAGAAAGAAGAAGAAAGACGATTTTATAATTAAAGATAATCATTAAATATTGCCATTTATAATTATAAATAATGAAATGTTTCATTAACCTGTGCTCAATGATTATTTTAGTATGTTTACTTGACGAGGTCATAACATTTGCACTCACAAGTAAGGTTAACGCATGACACATAAGTTAACCTTTTGCCTAGATTCAGAGTCTCCATCACAGAGGGCGTGTTCTGAGATTCTTGGTAACATCTCTCAAACTTGTCAGCCCCTGATTGGCTGGCCAAACCATAATATCATTTCTCTAAAAATAGATGGCTTTGAGTAATTTGTCAGTTCTAAAGCAAGCTTCAGACCGGCCATCTTTAGCATCTCTTTAACCAGAAGGATTTTGACACGTTGTCAAAACCATAAACCTTTTTTGCACCTGCGAAGCTGAACCAACAAGATAGTTTCATGCAGAACAAAGCTGACTCAAAACGCCTTCAGAGTTATTTTTAAGACGCTTGGTTTCATCTATCGTTGTGGCCCTGGAGACATCCAAGGACTGATTTGGGCGCATCAAGGTTTTTCTACAAGCCAGGTGCAGTGGGGTCATCGGCCCTGGAACATCTTGGATCCAACGGGGGTGTAAAGGGTTAATTTACATCTATTTAATGAGCCATAAGATATGAGATTCCATAGTAAATATAAAATCAATCTCGTGGATCTTTGGGTACTTTTAACCAGAAGATTGGAACTTTTTATTGCAGGGATTATGTAACACTTCGTATTAACTGAGAGACAAAAGAAAGAGAGTCAAGTTTTAAAAGTTTGAAGATTCATCACTAAACAAATTAAAACTAGACTAACTTAAACACTAAATGTGTGGTGTAACTAAGTGAATGAGACGGAGAATGGTGTAGTGTGGAATGTTGTTCACTTCGTCTTCCTCCGCTTATCCGGGTCCGGGTCACGGGGGAAGCATCCCAATTAGGGAGCTCCAGGCCGTCCTCTCCCCGGCCTTGTCCACCAGCTCCTCCGGCAGGACCCCAAGGCGTTCCCGGACCAGATTGGAGATGTAACCTCTCCAACGTGTCCTGGGTCGACCCGGGGGCCTTCTGCCGGCAGGACATGCCCGAAACACCTCCCCGGGGAGGCGTCCAGGAGGCATCCTGACCAGATGCCCAAACCACCTCAACTGACTCCTTTCGATCCGGAGGAGCAGCGGTTCTACTCCGAGTCCCTCCCGAATGTCCGAGCTCCTCACCCTATCTCTAAGGCTGAGCCCGGCCACCCTACGGAGGAAACTCATTTCGGCCGCTTGTATCCGCGATCTCGTTCTTTTGGTCATTACCCAAAGCTCATGACCATAGGTGAGGATTGGGACGTAGATCGACCGGTAAATCGAGAGCCTGGCTTTCTGGCTCAGCTCCCTCTTCCCCACGACAGATCGGCTCAGCGTCCGCATGACTGCAGACGCCGAACCAATCCACCTGTCGATCTCCCGATCCCTCCTACCCTCACTCGTGAACAAGACCCCGAGATACTTAAACTCCTCCACTTGAGGTAGGACCTCTCCCCCGACCCGGAGGTGGCAAGCCACCCTTTTCCGGTTGAGAACCATGGTCTCAGATTTGGAGGTGCTGATCCTCATCCCAGCCGCTTCACATTCGGCCGCGAACCTACCCAGCAAGAGCTGAAGGTCAGAGCTGGATGAAGCTAGGAGGACCACATCATCCGCAAAAAGCAGAGACGAGATTCTCCTGCCACCAAACTCGACACACTCCACACCACGGCTGCGTCTAGAAATTCTGTCCATAAAAGTGATGAACAGAACCGGTGACAAAGGGCAGCCCTGGCGGAGTCCAACCCTCACTGGGAACAGGTCCGACTTACTACCGGCTATGCGGACCAAACTCACGCTCCTCTGGTAAAGGGACTGAATGGCCCTTAACAGAAAGCCACCCACCCCATACTCCTGGAGCGTCCCCCACAGGGTGCCCCTGGGGACACGGTCATAAGCCTTCTCCAAATCCACAAAGCACATGTGGATTGGTTGGGCAAACTCCCATGCCCCCTCCATCACCCTTGCAAGGGTATAGAGCTGGTCCACAGTTCCACGGCCAGGACGAAAACCACATTGCTCCTCCTCAATCTGAGATTCAACTATCGATCGGACCCTCCTCTCCAGTACCTTGGCGTAGACCTTTCCAGGGAGGCTGAGGAGTGTGATCCCCCTATAGTTGGAACACACCCTCAGGTCACCCTTCTTAAAGATGGGGACCACCACCCCGGTCTGCCACTCCCTAGGAACTGCCCCCGATGACCACGCAATGTTGTAGAGACGTGTCAACCATGACAGCCCTACAACATCCATAGCCTTGAGATACCCAGGACGAACCTCATCCGCCCCCGGGGCTCCGCCGCTGTGTAGTTGTTTGACTACCTCAGCAACTTCTGCCACCGAGATCGGACAGTCCATCCCCAGGCCTCCCAGCTCTGGTTCCTCCTCGGAATGCGCATTGGTGGGATTGAGGAGCTCCTCAAAGTATTCCTTCCACCGTCCGACTATAGCCTCAGTTGACGTCAGCAGCTCCCCATCCCCACTGTAAACAGTGTGAGCGAGTTGCTGCCTTCCTCTCCTGAGACGCCGGACAGTTTGCCAGAACCTCTTTGGAGCCGATCGATAGTCTTTCTCCATGGCCTCACCAAACTCCTCCCACGCCCGAGATTTTGCCTCGGCAACTGCCACTGCTGCACCCCGCTTGGCTATCCGGTACCTGTCTGCTGCCTCCGGAGACCCACAGACCAGCCACGCCCTGTAGGCCTCCTTCTTCAGCCTGACGGCTCCCCGAACCTCTGGTGTCCACCAGCGGGTACGGGGGTTGCCACCACGACTGGCACCGGCCACCTTACGACCACAGCTAGCAACAGCCGCCTCGACAATTGCAGAGTGGAACAAGGCCCACTCGGACTCAATGTCCCCCACTGCTCTCGGAACGTGGTCAAAGCTCTGCCGGAGGTGGGAGTTGAAGACCGTCTTGACAGGTTCTTCTGCCAGGCGTTCCCAGCAGACCCTCACTATGCGTTTGGGTCTGCCAGGTCTACGCGGCATGTTCCCTTGCCATCTGATCCAACTCACCACCAGGTGGTGATCAGTTGACAGCTCCGCCCCTCTCTTCACTCGGGTGTCCAAAACATACGGCCGCAGGTCAGATGATACGACTACAAAATCTATCATCGACCTGTGACCTAGGCTGCCCTGGTACCAAGTGTACCGGTGGGCATCCTTATGTTCGAACATGGTGTTCGTTATGGCCAAACTGCGGCTTGCACAGAAGTCCAATAACAAAACACCGCTCGAGTTCAGATTAGGTGGGCCGTTCCTCCCAATCACACCCCTCCAGGTCAAGCTGTCATTGCCCACGTGAGCATTGAAGTCCCCCAGCAGGACAATGGAGTCCCCTGATGGAGCACTATCTAGCACTCGTCCCAGGGACTCCAAAAAGGGTGGGTACTCTGAACTGATATTTGGCCCATAAGCACAAACAACAGTCAGGACCCGTTCCCCGACCCGAAGGCGCAAGGAAGCTACCCTCTTGTCCCCCGGGGTAAACCCCAACACACAGGCAGAGAGTCTCGGGGCTAACAAAAAGCCAACCCCAGCCCTCCGCCTCTCACCCGGAGCAACTCCAGCAAAGTAGAGTGTCCAACCCCTCTCCAGGTCTCGGGTTCCAGAGCCAATGCAATGTGTCGAGGTGAGTCCGACTATATCTAGCCGGTACCGCTCAACCTCTGCCACAAGCTCCGGCTCCTTCCCCGCCAGCGAGGTGACGTTCCATGTCCCAAAAACTAGTTTTCTTGTCTGGGGATTGGACCGCCAAGGCTCCCGCCTTGGTCTGCCACCCGATTCACATTGCACCGGACCCTTCATGTTCCTCCTGCGGGTGGTGGGTCCACAGTTGGACGAGCCCATGTATCCGGTTCAGGCTGGGCCCGGCCGGGCCCCATGGGCGAAAGCCCGGCCACCAGGCGCTCGCTCACGGGCCCCAACCCCAGGCCTGGCTCCAGGGTGGGACCCCGGTAACCCTCCGGGCCGGGTACTCCGACTCTTCGTTTTAACCGCCATGAAAGATCCTTCGAACCGTTCTTTGTCTCACCCTTCACCTAAGACCAATTTGTCATGGGAGGCCCTACCAGGGGCACTAAGTGCCCCAGACAACATAGCTCCTAGGATCATTAGGGCACTCAAACTCCTCCACCACGATAAGGTGACGGTTCAAGGAGGAGGGAATGTTGTTCAGAACCAGCAAATCCGGAGAAACGATTAGTTCTGATGGGAAGTGAAGGTGATGTCTTTGCACTAAGCTTTGGTTAGGAGATTCATAACACACATTGAGACGTCATTCTGTCGGCCTACATACCCTTTCGGAAGTCTCCGTTAGATCAGGAATGTCGAGGTCCAGCTTGACCCCCTCTGGCAAGAGCATCTGGCAGCAGACATCAGCTGGCGTCTTTGCCGTGACAGGAAATGACGTATCCGGAAAAACAAGTGTCATTACCTTCGCCGGAAGTCATTACCTTTGCCGGAAGTAGTTTTTTTTCGGAAGTCATTACCTTTGCCGGAAGTAGTTTTTTTCGGAAGTCATTACCTTTGCCGGAAGTAG